TCTAGTAGTTGTTTGGAGAATTCGTTTTCGTTTGACTTCCAGGACATTGCCTAACACAATCGAGTTTGTCGCATTTTAATGCTGTTTTATTCAATGATAGGCTGGGTATTTCCCGGAGACGACCCGGCTGAACTTGCCAAGCCAATGGCACCGCCGCCTATGGTAATCAAGAAGGAGGAAGAAGTCAAAAAAGAAGAGCCAAAGGATGCAATATCTTCCATGATGGCACCTCCTAAGAGTCGCTTCTCAGCCAAGAAGAATCCCGTGCTTGGAGGGCCTCCCGGTGGAGGTATGATGCCTCCTATGATGGGTGGTATGATGATGCCTCCTGGAGCTTCTCCATCTGGAATGATCACGCCCATGGGAGGTGGTCCAGGTGGCGCTTCTGGAACCCCCAAATTTGCGACGTTTACTCCAAAACCTGCTGTATTTACCCCCAAACCTGCTGACGAAGCTTCCTCGAAGGAAGATCCTGCGGCAACGACTAAGGGACAAAGTGAGGAATAAAGGCAGTCGCAATACTAGACTAGATTATTGTTGACGTATGTATATTTTAGTAGTAAGCGAGTTTATTTCACAGAACGACTCTTTCCACCATGGTTTCAGAGCGTTTATTGATAACAACTTTAATTCAATAGGAATGATCTATTTTTTCATTGTTTATCATCGTACTTTACGTCTATTTGTACCGGCATTATGAAAATGTTTATCGAACGTTTTCTTTTTTCAAGGCGGTGTGAGTACGATGATGATCTTGATTTACTATCTAGAGGAAACCCACCTCACACTAGGACTCGTACGGCAGTTTTGATACAACTCCATTGATGTATCGATGAATTTGTCAGCCTGCCACGCTTGCATATTGGAATCACTTCGTTACGCCGGACATGTATTGCCTCTGATCGATTGCAATATTCGACGCATGTACTGCATTGAGTGATGGAATCCTTCATTTTCGTAGTATTCACTGAAGAGAAGTGATTCAAAATAATTTCGTGATAGGTGTTTGGGTTTGCGCCGTCTGTTAGTATTGGCTCGACAAATGCACCAAGCAATTTTTGTTACCAATGAGAGCGGGATTGCTCGAGCTACAATTATAATACTAGAAGTAGTACACGACTGGGACCTCGCCTCCGGGTCCGGAACGGTATCTTCTAAAAAATAATAGTGTTGACTTGTTGACCGAGTCTCAATAGTACGAGTATACCTTGGTGTCTACCCGCCAAGAGAGTTCATCAATGGATTATTTTACGCTCCGAAAAGGTCCTTCGCGCCTTACAAAATTGACACTTGTTCTTACTACTACGGTAGCCATCACTGTTTTTTGCTTGGTTCCTACATACAGTACTACTACAGGTACATCCGCTCCTACGGTACATTACTGGTACCAAATTTTTGCAACCCATTTCTCAAAACGGTCGTAGGAGTCATCTGGTACTTAAAATACATAGGATTTTACGTAGGCTATAACACGTCACTCAGCCCCACTCAATTTACCACCGTACTTAGACGTGCTACATAAATTCTGGTAGGATTTCTACTGTGCAACCGTACTTATTTTTCTGCTCTGGTCGCATTCGCACCTATTTTGGTTGCTTAAGACAGAGCAATTTACACTGAGTGTGCAACCATTTTGCAACTCCCCCCCTCTGACTCACGAGAGGTGCATTTTTTGCTCACAAAATAACAATACTCGCATACGAGTACCGGTTCAAGGAAAACCCAAAGCAAGACAAGCAAATACTGTACTACTAACACACAGCAGCGGACACCGAGTCCCCCTTGCATACGAGTAGTACTGGTGGTACACCAGCACCAGGTTCAAGGAAGACAGTAGCACACCACCAGCCCCCGTCGACTCACGTCAGCACCGCGAGAGGTGCAAATCGAATACTACGAGTACGATTAGTACTGGTGGTACACCAGCAGGTTCAAGGAAGAAGACAGCAGCACACCAGCCCCCGTCGACTCACGTCAGCACCACGAGAGGTGCAAATCAAATAGTACTACGAGTACGAGTACTACTGGTTCAAGCAAAACCTCAATCCTCCTGCTCGCATACGAGTACGAGTAGTACAAGCAAAACCCCAAGCAACAAGCAAAAACTAACACAGCATACTACTAGTAAGCAACAGGAGCAACAAAGAAAGCTACCACTCCTAATGGCAAGAACACCACCAAGAGGAGGGGCAAATCGCCGGCGTATCCGGGCTCGGCAAAGAAGGGGGGGGACGGTAACACCTCCACGAGACGTGAACCAGCCAGGGCAATGGGGGAGATACCATAAAGTTTTGCTTGAGCTAATGGATCATGTACATGGAAGAATTGATGAAGGAGGAGACAATGGGGATAATCGATTTCCAAATGATACTATATTCACGGATGAGCAGTTGAGTATTCTAACACCGGATCATATTTACAAGTTCTTTGCAAAGAAAGCTTTTGGTCGCGAGGATCCAGGCGTGGATGATAATCCTACTCATGGTAGATCCACTTCTTTAATCTACTACAAGAAGGCAATATCATACTTCATGCCAAACAAGATGCACAAATGGACTGTTGTTGGTGGTGTTGGAAGTGGGAATCCTACCAAGTCACAGAAAGTTAATGACCTAATTGCCGCTGTTGTCAAGAAGGAAACCAGAGGACTTGGACAAGCAAGCAGCATGGATAGGCCTCTTACCAAGGATGAGTTTTTGCAAACACTAGAACTGATGGGGAATCATGGGACCATTACGAATCGACTGAGATACCTTGCTATGCTTAAGTTCCAGGTTCACTTGATAGGTCGGAATGATGATATGGCTCACGTTGGCAAAGACAGCTTGGAGAGATCAACTGAATTTCCCCAGTTTCTTACAGCAAAGATGAAGTGGTCTAAGAATGTAAGGGAGGAACGTGATTGCCCAAAGCAAATATTGCTTGGATCGATGGATCATAGGAGCTGTGTGGTGCTTGGGCTTGCTTTATTCCTTGAAAAGTGGTGCAAAGACGGCGAAGGAGCAGCAGGCCAGTGGCTGTTCACTGAAGGAGTAACAGACAGGGGATCTCACCCAAAGGACATTGAGAAAGAGATTAACAAAGGAAAGGCTGCTTATGCGCGATTCATCAAGCGTTATGTGTTTGATAATGAAGCATTTGTTGCTGAAAGACCGGATTCGGAAGGCAAGCTGGGGACTCATTCCTTTAGGAAGTTTGCCACCACTTTTGCAAGGCAGTCTGGAGGATGCAGGGACAATGTTGATTACAGAGCTAGATGGAAGTCTCGCCGGCAACAGGATCGTTATACGGATACACAGCTTGCTTGGCCTGATATTGAGATCGCAAGCAAGCTCTGTTTCKGAGGGATCTGTCTGTACAAGCCTGAAAGGACCGGAATCACGGATGAGTGGCTTGCTGCATCTGTAGCCCCTAATATTGCCAATGTATTTGGCAATCAAGTGGCTGCAATCCTTGGCAAAGCGTTGCTATGGGCCTGTTGCGAGCCCATCATGCAAGGCTTGGTACCAGAGGACGTACGACGAGATGTTGTTGCTTCTTGGATTCAATTGAATTACAGTTTGCCAGTTGCTGAGAGGTTGGATCGTGACGTGAATCCTATCAAACGTGTTGAGCTGGTTGCTAATGAGTTCAGTGGGAAAGTTCACTTTGATGAGCTTGCTGATCCAGATGATCTGCTTGATCGTGGTCCCGGTGGTGGTGGAGGAGGCGCCGGCGGACGAGCTGCTGTTGGGATACGTAGGAGTCAGTTACAGTGGAACCATGTAATGTTTTCAAAGCTATTTGCCACAGCTAATGAAGTGAATGAAATCAAGAATTGACAGATTGCAAGTGAAGCTAAGTTCAATCAGAAGCTCAATCGAGCCATCCAGCTGTCCCAAAGAGCTGCGATGGCCCCTGTAGCAAGACGTCGGGTCGTCCGAGCTGTAAACAGTGGCGCGTTGGAAGCTGGTGATAGCGCAAGTGGAAATGCTGAGCTGACTAAGTGTCCTAATGATCTTTATGTCCTCTGGAATGAATGGGAAGTGGGCGTTGGTCTTAATAAGCCTGCAAAGGAGTTCACTAGAGCTGAGCGAGGACGTGTTAAGAGCAAGTACTGCAGGCGATTGAAGTTCTGGAGATGCATGGAAAGACTCATCAGAGCTGGTTGTTCTTCAGAAGTAGCGATTCGCAGGATCTATACAGTGTATGGTGGTCCAACCAAGAGGGTCTCCTACATCCTTAAAGCTATGGGTCCTCACGAGGCCCATGGAGGCCACGCGCTGCTTCGAGGACCAACTGTTGGTGGTGCTGCTGCTTCTTAATGGATTCGTCGATGCTTCTTTGTTGCGTGTCGAAGTGTTTGTTCCTTACTACTTGTCCCCCCCTTATATCGAAAAAATCATAAAAATATAGTGTACTGTGTATATGTGAACTGTAGTATTTTGCTGTATTTTGCTATCCTCAACAAGAGGACCATGTTGATAGCTGACAGGAGGAGTGTTGATACTACTATCAGTGGTGTTATCGACGTGATTGTCGAGAATTACTCTCCCGACTTGGTTTTTTTCTGTTGAATTTGCCTTGTGCGTGATCGTGTGAGTACTTCTCATCAAACACGCTGATACTCTTAGGCTCCGCGCACGCTTGGTGCACCTTGTCTCATGTACATAGAACTTGTACTGTGTTCTACATGGTTGCAATATTAGTTACATTTTTGTTTGGTACTTGCCTGGTATGTTAGAAGAGGGCAATGATACCGGCCGGTACAAAAATGTCAAAAAAAGTAAACTCGCATCTACTCAAACCCGTTTCTACAAGTGCCTACTACTGTTGTCAATGAGAGTTGTACGACGATTTCGACTACTAGTAGATACTGTACGAGGGCGAAGTCAAGAGCATCATATAACGGTCCTACAACCGTCACAGTCATGCTACTGAATTTGTACGGGACTGTATGGTACAGTACGATACAGGTCTGTATCATAACAATCACTTCAACCCTCAACTCGGAATACGAACCCGTCTTCCATTCCTGGATGAGGAACCCGCGCTGGTATTTCTGTTCTATCGTTTATTCGTGCTTTCTTCTGTGGTCAATGTGACAGCTGCGCCGTGTTAAAATCTCTGTAGAATACAAACTACGAGCTCATTTCAATTCCAGACACAAATACGGAAAAAAGATATTTGAATAGGAGATACACTTCGACAAACGCTATCAATATTTTGACTCCTAGAGTACTTTGTCACCAAAGTATGACTTCAATCTCCCAAAATGCGAGAACGTTGAAGATGTCGACCAGCCCACGAAACCATTACCAACACAAAATCAATCAGAGTTACATCGGTGCGAATGATATGAATATCTACGTCTCTTCTCCTGTTCCTTCTGTCGACGTTCATAATGGCAGTATCACCAATATCAAGACAGAAGCGAGCAGCATKGATAGCAACCCACATAATGTCAGCAACACTAGTAGCAGTATGAAATTCAGCAGCTCCCATCACCACCAATATCATCACGGAACAAGACCTTCTTTGGCAGGTTTTGATCCCTTTTCATCCGAGCAACAAACTCCACCACCGACAAAATCTATAGCACCCGACACGCGTGGTAATTCCTCTCCATCTGGAGAGGTTGATCTCGCATTCGAAGGTGCAGACTCGGGCTATAGCAAAATGGAAAAACATCGGCCGCATAGGCTCGGTCTGGGAAACGTCGAAAACTTTGACAACGAACAAGTCGATACGAACGGAGTTGCTTCTGCCGGTGCGAATCCCTCGAAAAAAACGACTTCTGCCAAGGGTCCAATGAAGAAGGTCAACAAATTCCTTCGCAAGTCGATTCTTGCCAAATCTCTTACGATGGCTAGGCAGATATCGGCCGAGCGCAATCCATCCACCCAAAAGACCCCCTCAGCTGTCTCGCCTGTTTCGGTCGTTTCGTTGAACGACAATGTATCCAACCCCGGGAACAACGATGAACATCTACCTGGAAAGCAACAGATGACTGCTTCGACAATCACAACCAACCCAAAGGGCATGCCCAGTTCATTTATTCATGCAGACCAATCACCATCACTGCCATCGCAACCCTTGGTATTGTCCAAAGGACCGACTAGCTTGACCCAGGACCTTCTAGAACTAAAAGAAGGATTTCAGAACCACGCTACGCTCGAGATCCCATTGTTGACTACACCTCATAAACAACGCAACAAACCTAACTACGCTCCGACGTCCTTCTTGACCGGTACTCAGTCCAAAGGAATTGACTACGAGGCTCCCGTCCTAACATCTTGCCTTTTCAACGACGCCACTCCGTTCCAACTGGAGATCCCTTCGCTGCTCGAAGTAGTTACAATGGCCCGACTGAACGAATTTGTCGAAAACTACCGAAAGCAGGACCAAAACCTGGATTTGCGCCAATTCGTGGGCCTCTCTAGGCTGCAGCTCGAGCACAAACTCCAAACCAGCTGTGCCACGACAAGCAATCATTCCAGCAACAAGAACATTGCCACTAGCAACAACATTCTCGTTAAAGAACACATACCGATTGTTCAATCCCTCCTGGATTGTAGCGAGCACGACCACGATGAAATCACTGCAACCACCAACACCAAGGGAGGAGAAATCTCTATTCAAGGCTTCACAACCGAATCTGGAGGCGAGAACCATTCTGCGGACGATCGAACGGAAGCAGTTATCTTCCAGGGCCAGAGAAACTTTACCGTCGTGTTCCGTGGAACGACCGAGCAGCAGGCGAAGGGATTGCAAGGCGGCGGCAACAACAGCAAATCAAAAAAGCGCGCTGTGGACCTGAACGACGACGAGAACGGCGGCTCGGAATTCCCCGATCTCAACAAGAACAATCCCAACAGCCGGTGCACCATCGAAGTGTACAGCGGTTTCAAGGAAAGCTATTCCAGGATCGAAGAAGAATGCTTCCGGCAGGTCGACAAGCTGGTCGATGAGAATCCCTTCTGCGACGTTTTCTTTTCGGGCTATTCCTTTGGGGGGGCCCTGGCCACCCTCGCCGCGTTTCGGTACGCGAAAGCCCGGCCCATGATGCGGGTGGGGTGCCTGACGCTCGGCTCGCCCAAGGCCGGGTTTGCAGGGTTTCGGCAGGCGGCCAACGCGCTGCCCAACCTCAAGGTGATGCGCCTGGAGCTGGGAAAGGACGCAAGGTGCCAGGGACCTACCGCGGGTGGTTCTCACGCCGGGCACACCGTGGTGCTGAACCACACGGGGAGCGGCGGCCCCACCGGGAGCAGCGGCAGCAATCCCCACAACAAGAGCAACGCGGCAAGCAAGTCCACCGGCGGCGGAAACGCCGCGACGCCGCCGGTGTCCCAAGGGCCTTTTCCGTCCTCTCCATCGGACCACCGGAAGCCCTCGGTGTCGGTCTACAAGTTTGCGACGCCCAAGCACAAGAACGGGTTTTTCAAGTCGTCCAATCCCGGCCTGAAAAAGTACATTTCGACGCTGGAGGACCTGGCCACCCTCAACAAGACCAGCGGCAGGAGTGCGTCTTCTCTGACGTGGGCGACGGATTTTGCCAACAACGCCGGGGAGGGAGTGGTAGTGAACAACGAGAAACGACAGATGGTGTAACAACGAAACCCAGGGGAGGTGTTTTGGGTCCGGGACAGCTGGCACACCCAGAGTCTATTTTGCTATGCCCTTTCCCTGTTCTCGTCCCCGCGCCTCCCATGTGCATATGCTCGGCGACCACAGACTTTCATTAGCGATATTCCACGATCGATCGATCGATTGATCTATAGTACATTTTTACATTACAGTATAGTATATCGCAACACAATGCTCTTTGCACCCTGGTATCTCGTACGAGCTCATGCCTGTTGCGACGCACTTGCTCTCTAGCTGTGCTTTCGACGGAGACAAGGGTTTCGTTCCCGTTCCTTGCTTCGATCCGCCTGTTTTGTTTTTTTCGCGCCGGGTGTGCGTGCGTGCGTGCGTGTGTGTGTGCGTGTGTGGCGTGGCGTGGTCTGCATCGCCGCGGTGCTTTTTCGGTTCCGAGCCCCGATCCGTCGGATGGTTCCGTCCCCCGTTTTGTTGGGTTTCTACAATCCCAGCATCCGGTGGCCAAATTCTTCGTCGTCGTTGTCGTCGTGTTCGTGTTCGTCCGCGAGGTCCATGCGTTCTCCCTCCCCGTCGTCGTGTTCGTGTTCGTGTTCGTTGCCGTCGTGCTCGTCGCTGCTCTCCCCGTGGCGGCCCCCCCCGCAGGCAAGGTGGTCCCCGGCGTGCCTCTCGGTTTTGCTGCTGCTGCCTCCGGAGCTTTTGGAGGCCGCTTGTTTCTTTTCTTTGAGCTCCCACCGCTCGCTCAGGCGGGGCGATTTCTGGATCATCTTCTGGACCACCTCGAGGATGCCGTTCTCCATGTCGATGTACTCGGTTCCCTCACGAGGAGGCTCGCCTTCGTCCCCCCCGTGCGGGGGCGGAACGTTGATCTGGTTGGACCCGCTCTTGATCCGCCGAAAGGAAAAGACGCTCCTGGCGAGCTGCTCGAGGAAGCGGCTGGTCCCCCAGTTGAGAAAGTGGGACCTGGGGTGGTCCCCCGTCGTGTCGATGATGCCGTGCAGGGCGTCGTGGAAGGCCCTATGGAAGCGGTCGTTCTGCTGGGCGAGCCGCAGGTCGTTCCTGGCGCGGTTGGAGGTCCCCTCCCTCGGCCTGGCCCCGCCGTGTGCGTAGGGGTCCGAAAAGATGGCCTCGAGGATCTCCGGGGAGGAGACGTCCCGGCGGATGAGGTGGGTCATTTTCTTGACCCGGCCGATCTTGTCCCTGGGGGGTTCCTCCCCCGGGGGGAGGACCAGGGGGAGCCGTGTCCCGACCGTCCCGGTGGAGTAGTAGACGTCGAATCGCATCCTTTCCCTCGAACCGGGGGCGGGTTTGGTGAAGGAGATCGCCCGGGAGGCCTCGTTGAAGTTGACCTCGGCGAGGCCGGGGACCCTTGCCGCGATCTCCCGGACGGCTCCCAGCTCGAGCTTGGGCGGCTGGACCTTCTTGACCGGTGGCTTTTTCCGGACGTACTTCTTGGGCGGCCTGGGGGCCAGGGCCTCCTCGATGTACCCGTTCATCCTGGCCTTGATGGCCTCCTCCCACTCCCTCTTTTTCCTCCGCTCCGCGGCGAGTCGCTCTTTTTCGCGTTTCTTGGCTTCCCTCTCGCGCCGCTTGAGCTCGGCGGCCGTCGGTGGCAGCGGGGGGCCCGCGGTGGATCCCTCCGTGGTGCAGGGAGGCTCCCGTCCCCCTTCCCCTTTTCCCGTTGCTGTTTCCGTGGCTGTTTCCGTTTCTGTGGCTGTTGCTTTTTCTGTTTCCGTCGCTCGCAAAAGGACCTGGCCGAGGCCGCTCTCGTTCCAGTGCTTGGAGACGATCCTGCGGGCCGACTCCCGGTCCGCTTCCACAAAGATTTCCTCGACGTAGGCCTTGACGCTGCCGTTCCCGAGTTCCAGCCCCGCGTCGTGCCTCGCCGCCTCGTTGCGGGCGCTGGCCTCCTGCTTCCAGCGGACCAGGCCGGACAGGTGTTCCTTGAGAAAGGCCCGGGTGGGCTTGAAGCGGGCCTTCTTGCGCGGGGGCTTCCCGGCCCCCTGGCCGGAAGCCGTTGTCGCTGCCTCGTAGTTTTCGTCCCAGACCTTTCGGCGGAGGCGCTTCTTGTTCTTCCGGACGCGGGGCCTGCGTGCCCTTCCCCCGGTTCCCCCCAGCGGCGGCGGCGTCGCAAAGGCCGGGCCCACCGGCGGTCCAAAGCTCGCAAAGGCCGGGATCCCCTGCCGCTGGGTCGTCCCCATTCCCATTCTCAGGCCCCCCATTGCCACGCCGACGCCGACGCCCAAGCCCAGTGGGTGGTGAAGCATTGCGGAGGGATGCATCCCCCCGGGCACACCGCCCGCGAGGGGATCGAAGGAATGGGTTCCACCGTGGAGAATACTACCAGGAAGGGTGGCCGGAAGGTGGGCGGTGGCCTCCCCTTGGGGTGCTTTGGTTTCTCGTTCTTTTTCTTGTTCTCGTTCTTGTTTTCGTTCCGTCGGTCTTGCTCCCGGGTTGTCGGGTGATTCACCCTCCTTGCCGGATTCCCCGGTGGCAGGAGCCGGGCCCTCGGCCGATGCAGCTGCAGCTGCAACTCCAGCCCTCGGGTCGCAGTCCGTTTTGGTCTTCCCGGGTTCGTTCTCGTTCTCCTTGTTGTGGGTGGCGCTCGCTTGCATCGGCATCGACATCTGCATCGGCATCGACATCGGCGGGGTTGTTCGGTCGCCTCCCTTTTCCTTCGTGCCAGCCTGCTTGGGACTCGGAGTCACGTGCGTCGAACCCCCGGTTGGGGCCGGGCTCTCGCTTGCGTCCCCCGTTGTCTTGGTCCCGTAGCCGGCTGGGGGATGGCCACCGTTTGCCTTTTCCCAAGCTCCAACCATGCCTGCGTGCAGGGGAAAGGAAGGGACGCCTCGGGAGGGGTGGGGGTGGTACCCAAAGGGTGCTTGCTGGAGTTGCTGTTGGTGTTGCTGCCGCCGCAGGAGATCCAGCTCCAGCTGCAGCTGCCCCTGGTGGGCCCCGGCCGGGATTCGCCCCCGGAGGTGCCACAGGGGGACCCCGGCTTGTGGCCCCAGCGGGGCGTGCATTTGCATCCTTGCAGGGTGCATCGATGGGAGGTGCCCGTGCCCAGAGGGTTGCATGGCGGCAAATCCCCCCCCGCTTGGATTTCGGCGGTGGGGAGAAACAGAAACCTTGGAAGCCCCGGAGCGGGTCCCGCGGAGGCGGCCCCCCTTCCTCTTCGCTCCGAGCGGCCCGGGACGGGGGTTCTTCTGCTTCTGCCGCTTCTGCTGGATGCTGTTGGTGTGCATCCGATGCATCTTCTGCACCTCCTGCTTCCTCTTGGTGGACACCCCCTTGTACTTGGTGGTCCGGTGGTCCAGGGCGTGGGCCCTGGCTTGCTCGTGGAGCCGCTTCCGCCGGGTGGCGGCGTCTTCTTCCGCGCGGGGAGCGGTCCCGCCGCTCGTCTCCTTCTTCTCGAGGGGGGCCTCCCCTTTTTCCCCCGGTGGAGGGTCGGTTCCGGCCGGGACCGATGCCGGAGACCCTTGAGGGGGAGCCGGAGCGTCTTCCGGAGCCACCGTGTCCGCCATGGTAGATCGCGGTGTCGTGCGTGCAGCGGGGTGGAGTTCTTTCCGAGGCGCCGTAGCCCGTTCTCTTCTGCGCTCTTTCTCTGTGGTTCTCTTCTCTGCTCGGTTGTTCTCTTCTCTCTCTCTCGTTCTGTCCGGGTCCTCTGCAGAACAGCCAACCAACAGCAAGTGCCTCGGCTTCTTTCGGTGTGATACGAGTGGGTGGTTGTGGTTGTGGTTGTGGTTGTGGTTGTGGTTGTGGTTGTGGTTGCGGAAGACGTCGGTCCGGTCTCCTGTCTCGGCAGGGTCTGTTGATGGGTTGGTTTGTGTTTGATGTTGGAATCTAAATCGTTTTGGAAGAATCGACGAATGAATCGACCAATCGGGCCAAACCAAGATGGTACGTTCCGTCAAGTACGGTGATTACCCGTACTTTTACTGCGGAACGACCGCGATCGTAGCTCTGCGCTCGTGCCACAGAAAATTCGAGTCAAGAGAAACAAACCGGGGGGGGAGAACAGATTGAATTTTGACTGAACGACAAAGAAGACCGCAAACAACTGGGGGGAACGCACCCAACCTTCAGTGTTGGTTTGGGACTGGGAGTATACAGTACTACCGTCCCATCCGTACAATACAGTACCATACGATACGATACGAGGCAACAGAGTCGGCGATCACTATTGCATTGCGTACGTCCCGGTACCGTAATTGCCCTCTCCCGTTCAGTATGGCGGAACCGCCGTCGGAGTCGTAGAACGGAATCTATCGAACCGTGCGTGGTACAGTACGTACTTACAGGACCGAACTACGATTCGATTCCCTACGTACGCACTCGCACGAGTACTCGTACATTACATTGAAGTAGCTTCGGGTGTAGCTTTCGTTACGGGAATTCCTGTAGCGCTGTTGTTGTTTGGTGGGTACAGTATGGGGTATGGTATGTGACACGGAGGCAATTGCCCGGTCCCCAGCCAATCGCGTTGCAACAAAATTAGGGACGACAGACGTCGTCGACCCATACCGCACGTACAGGATGGACCGTCCGCCGGCCGTACGTCGCTGCATCAAATTACCGTACGTCCGTGCCGTACTTTACCGTGAGGCGCGTCAAAGGAAGGAATCTCGCGATTCTGACGACCGTACGTACGCAAGAACGGTACGTAGCACGTTGGGTCTACGCACTGCGCACGGGACCCCGCCGTCCGGACACGCAGCCAGACGGCCCGCACCCGATTCGTCAGCCATCGATGCGCTGGAATCGACTCGAATGAGCCTGCCGACTCGAACGTACGGTACGGTACGTATGTACCCCTACCATCGGTTGGATCGCCCGGGGGAGCTGCACTTCCGCGTGGGCCGCAAGATCACACCGGTACGACTCAAACCGGGGCACTAACAAAGCCGTACGACTCAAACCGGGGCACTAACCGGGGATACCCGGACCAAGATATACCGGCGTTGGTTGCGCCGTTGATTGGTGCGATGGTCGCGGTCCGAAAATACGACTAAGAGCTCGTCCTCGGATCCGTGATCCAGCGAAAAAGGCTTTAGGGGGGTTGCCGCGGAACTTCCGTGGGGGGTTGTTCTTTGTCGACACTGCGATCGGTGGTGCGTTGTGTTCCGTTGTGTTGTGTTGTGTTACTGTATGCTTTGCCGGTCAGCCCGGATCTTTTCGGGACGGGGATTCTTCTTCTCACAATTTCGATCTGGATCTCACCAAAAACGCAAACAAACACGAAAACAAAACCACGCGCCAAACCACGCAACACCAAAAAAAACAAAACACCCAAACAAAAAAGATGACCTTTCTCCACTACCTTCCACTCCTCGCCTGGGCCGCCGCCCTCTCTTCCGCCCCCTCCGCGGACGCCGTCACGACGAGCGGGGACCCCAACGACCCCAAGTTCCTCGCAAACGTCGCCACCGACGCCCCCTTTTTCGTCTCGCTCTACCAGCGGGGGGACTGCGCCGGGACCATCGTCGGCCGCCACCACGTCCTCACCGCGGCGCACTGCATCGGGGACACCAGAAAGCCCCCCAAGACGATCCTTTCCGACGGGACCTCGGTCCTGCCCATCTCGGCCTACATGAACCCCGACTGCCCCTACAACGTCCAGCGGGACGGGCCCAACAAGTGCGACCTCGCGGTCATGGCCTACCGGGAGGACCTCTTCGAGAGGCTCTCCCCGCTCGCGGGAGGGGGCCAACCGCTGTCCCTCCCGGTCTTCTCCGGGAGCGACGAGGTCGGGAAAACGATCACCATCTACGGGTACGGCCTCTCCGGCGACGCGGGGCAGCTCACCGGGAACAACGGCTGCCGCAAGGCGGACGAGGACGGCCGCTTCCGCAGGGTCCAGAACGTCGTCACGAGCACCACCGGAAGCACGAGCGCCTCCGGCGGGGTCGTGCGCTACAAGATGGACCGAACGAACGACGGGGGCCTGGCCCTCGAGGGCATGGCCCAGGACGGGGACAGCGGGGGCGCGGCGACCGTCACCGTCGGCGGGGTCGTCTACCTCGCCGGGGCCAACAGCGGGACGATGGAGAGAAACTCCTGCGACTACGGGTCGGTCGACGAGTACGTCCGGGTCTCGAGGCACCATTCCTTCGTCTCCAAGGTCCTGCGGTGCGACGCGAGCATCGGCCCGTGGAAGAACTGGGGGAACAACAACAACAACAACAACCAGCTGTGCATCCCCAGCCCGACACCCGATCCCGTCCCAAACCCAAATCCCGTCCCAAGTCCCGTCCCAAACCCAAGCCCAATTCCTAGCCCCACCCCCGGCCCCATCCCGAACCCAAACCCAAATCCCAACCCAAACCCAAATCCCAACCCAGACCCAATCCCAGACTGCCCCCTGACCGAAAAGAAGCAGAAAAAGTTCCGCATCCGGTGGGACAACAGGAAGATGAGGGGAACCTGCAAGAAGCTCTCGAAGCAGTCCGGGGAGGATATTGCCGAGATTTGCAAGCAAAGGCTCCTCGGCAAGAAACACAAAAACAAAACGGTTGCCAACATGTGTCCCGTGACCTGCGGCAAGGCCGGGGTGGGAGACTGCTCGCCCACGGATCTCACAAGCCCAACCGAAAGCCCAACCGCAAGCCCGACCGCTAGCCCGACCGCAAGCCCAACCGCTAGCCCGACCGCGGCCTCAACCGCAACCACAACCTCAAACGACGACGACGACGACGACAGCAACGGCAACGGCAGCAGAAGCATCAACAACAGCAACAATGACAACAACGGCGGCACCGACGACGACGACGACGACGACAGCAACGGCAACGGCAGCAGAAGCATCAACAACAGCAACAATGACAACAACGGCGGCACCGACGACGACGACGACGACGATGACGATGACGATGACGATTTCCGTCGAGAATGAAGTGATCTGGTTGCGCACGAGAAAACGATCCGAATCCATAAGAAACCAAAGTGAAGTGCCTACGTGAAGTGTAAAAAAAACGATAAAAAGTTTTTTTAAACCAAAATATAAATAAAATTTAATGCTAAAGGAATCTATGCATAGTGAACAACCTAGTTCAGAACGAACGACCCAGTATCATGTTTTCTCAATTGGGAGTGCGATCCAAGGCCCCAAACAAGCGAGTTCGTTGTTGCCGCGGTCCCGTTGTGCCGTGTTCCGTTTGTCGTGCATCGTGCTACATTCGATGGGCGGTGTCCTTTTGTGTGCCCCCGCAGCGGGAACGCACGTTGGCATAGTTCGAAGCGGTTGCGTCGCATTGTGCAAACCATTCCATTCGTCCCCGGCATCGTGGCACACACGCGTGGGAATGTCCGTGAGTGTCTATGGGTTCGTGCGTTTGTGTGTTGGATTCTGGTGGTAGGCGTTCGCGAGCGTTTCCTTTCCTCGCGTTGTCTTCCGTTGCACGCACGAAGATGGATGGCGAGCAAGGTGCCACGCTCCATGGCCATTGCTTCTTTCGCTCCTATGCTCCACCGTGCCGTCACGCGTTGGAGGTTTTTATTCGTTTGCCTGAGTTTTGGTTCGGTTCCGTTGGCCACGAATCATCCAAACTCGTGACACCCATCGCGCCCGGTGTTGGTTGCAGCCCGGTGGGGGTAGGAGTTGTGTCACCGCTCGACGAATCACGGATGCTAGCGACGTTGTCGTTGCTGTAGATGATAGTGTGAGCAGGGCATCCTTCGGCGCTGTTCCCCAAGTCCTCATCCCCCTTGGAGCGCTTCCGCGAATCTCTCAGCATCTGGTGGACCCTCCGTTGGAGCTCCAAGGGATCGGTGATTTCTGCGTACAGGAACAGATCCCTCTTGTAGCTGTAAAAGCGAAAGGTTTCGCCCTTACTCCACACACCGCCGGTGCTCTCCCCCGACTTGGCCTCGTCGATGATGTCGCGGACAAATTGCACCATCGACGTGACACTCTCGTCAAAGTTTTTGATCCGAGTCGTCCGTCGCATCTCCGTGTCGATCAGAAAGTGACGGAACCTCAGGTTCCCGTTGTGCTCGTACATGCCCTTGTTCCCAAAGACGACGCAACGAGAATCGGGGCAATCGATGAGGGAACGCACAAGAATCGGGTAACCCCCACCACCGGCGGTCTTTGGAGAGGCTCCGACGACGGCAGCATTTTGTAGATGCTGCGCACTGCGTTGATCGAGGCGGAGCAGTTGTTGGTGTTGTCGATGGCGACAATGCGTTTCGATCTGGTGCTTCTGAACGGCCTCGATTGCGGTTCTGGCCTTGACAAAGCTGGTGACATTTTTCGTCTTGACTTTGCCGCCGGACGTTATCGGAATGTCTCCGGATGGGATACCGTAGCCGCTGAGGCTGCAGGTGGTTTCGAGCGTCGATCCCCTGTGGCATCGGAGAAGGGACCGCATCTTTCGGTCGCAAAACAAAATGACGGCGATCTGAATGAAATAATAGGCAAAGTGGCCGTTCGGGAAGCAGATGTGAAGCGCGGAACACCGGACCGGACAGGCCTTGTTGCACCGTTGAAAAAATTTGGGGTTCCTTTCCCCCCCTAAATCGACCTTGCCGGATCGCTGGATCACCCCGATGGAGACGTAACCCAGTTTTTGTGTCGTCTCGTCCTGGGCCATCACGCTTTCAAGGTAAGTGCGGACCCGGTACTTTTCGCGAAGCGTGTACTCCGTGTTGTTGCACCCTAGGAAGGCAATTATGCGCCGACCGGCCCGGTCTCGGGATGGAAAGAGCTGCTGCTGGCCACGATTCAGGTACCTGAGCTCACGCTCGGTGAGATCTGTCAGGTAGAGGGGCCGCATCAGGGCGACCTGCCCGAACATGTCGTAGATAACGTCGAGATACCGAAAGAACTGGATTGCGGCATCCTCGATGTGGAATAGAGCCTTTCTCAGAAAGCACAGCCGAAAGCTATCCGATTGAATGTACTCACTGTTTAGGTGGAGGCCCAGTTGGTAAGCCTTCTTGGAAAAGATTGCGGAAGGCATCCCTTTGCGATTTTGGTTGCTACGGGGATTGTCTAATAGGTCCTCGTGGAGGTGATGGTCGATCTCCTCCCTTAGCGCCAACAAGCTTGCTGCAATCATGGAAGGATTCTCTGCCACAGCGCAATTGTCGACGCCGTGAATCTCATTAGCGATAGCCTCTCGCTCGTCGGCGCTCATTTCGAATTTTTCTTTCGCCTGAACCTTTTCGGCCTCGATCGTTTCGGCCTGGACCTGGACCGTGCTTGGTTTTAGTAGGGCGGGTGTCTTCACCATATTGTCGTTTTTATACTCGTGGATACGGCCCATATTCAGTAGCCTTATCCAAACCTTTGAAAATTTTTCCGTAATCTGCTCAATATCCATGTCGGGAGGCTTGTGGTGTTGGTTCTTGTTTTTCCTCATGTCAGTGCTTGTCCTCGAGTATTCCGTTGTGCTAACACGAGTACCATCCACGAATCTCGGAATGTTTTTGTGTGCACTGGATCCAGATATCCTTCGCAAATTGTCAAAGATACTTCTATCCACCAAGGTTGACTCGGCTCCGTAATCGAAGCTGTTTCCTAACGCCAAGAAATTATTCTGAGCTACAATATTGTTCTCGTTGCCGTTTGGTTTCGTATGGACTAGTGGTTCCCAAACACATTCGGATCTTTCGCTATTCGCATCGGGGTTGTTCGTTCTGTTGTGGATGCGTCCGGCAGATTGCAAAGCCGACTTTTTCACTGGCTGAATATCTTGGGGACAGTTACTCATAGTCTTGGGCAATGGGATGTTTGCGTACTCGGGATTGGCACCGTTGGTTGGACTTTTTTCTGGATTTTCAGTGGCCCTGAAGCAAAATCGAGGGTCGTTCCCGAATGCCACTTCAGAGAATTTTCCAAACTGATGACTATCCTCGTCGCACGAAGAATAGGTTTGGTGAGCCCCATGATCTCTCATACTTTGTGTGAAAGCTTGATAAATAACTTGATGAATTATTGATCACTGGAGTAGGTTCGCTCCGATCAGAATTTCTTCGAAGGTCTCCCCAGATAAATTCAATTACTGTAATAATTTTTTCAAAACTCCGGCCTGACCCCCCTAATTATTTTGTATCAGAATTGCTAGAGTTAGATCTCATCTCATCTACTCTCTTCTTGAATATCAGTGCAAATCGTACAGTACCCGTATTCCTTGTTTGGTGTGTGCATTTGCGATTGTAGAAACATTTGGCTCGGCTCGTAGTACTCGTATTAACGATTGAAATTACGTTGTTTGAGGCATTGGGAAGGTTTATTTAACATTCCGAATGTTATTGTTAAAATTTTCACGTAGGCCTACGTAGATCCTAGTATTATCCACATTCTTCGTTTGGTAGCAAAACAGTCTTGCACGTGCCTAAAAAGGAAGAAAGGATCAAAAAAAGAGGAAGAAGAGAACGCCTCCCCTGCTACGTAGTATTCAGACTGTTAAGCAAAGCATTCAGAGGAGAGCAACCGGGGGGCGGTTTCCTTATGTTTTCGCGCGACTTGCGCGTTTGTAATTAATTAAATTTAATTAATCACTTAATAAAATTTTATTAATCAATTTGAAAAGGTTATTAATTAATTTAAACTTATTGATAAATAAAATTTAATTATCGGTGAGTTAGAAGTTTTTTTCCAAATATAGACCTTCCCCCCATGCACAGTGAGAAGGCATATCCAATGAACTGTGTTGAATCTTATTCGCATGCGATCAGGAACCATGTCGATTTCAATTTTTTGGAAAAAAATTAGATTCCCAGGTGATCAGTTTTGATCACAAAAAAATGTGATCAGAAATAACAAATTTGTGATCAGTTTTTTATGATCAATCTTGATCACAAATTCGAACTGTCTTGTGTACAATTTGTACTAGTCCTGTTTTTATATAAAATTTTTATAACCTAATATAAATAATAACAGTATTTTTACACGTTTGTACTAGTAGTACTAATAGTACAACAGTCCTGTATTACCAACATAGTAATATGCCCTATTAAGAATTAACGCGATGTGCTACTAATATGACCACCATAAATGACTGTCTTTATATATAAATATTTATATATATATATATATATTTATTTATTTATATCATATAAATCGAATATAAATATTAATGTAACAATAAAGTACATATTAATTCTAATCCGTTGGAAAAAATGTGATCAAAACTGATCACAAAAAATTGTGATCAAGAAATTCATCAATTTTGTGATCATTTCTGATCACATTTTTTTGTGATCAAAACCGATCACATAATGGAAAAAAGGGGACCGGAGAATTTATTTTTTTCGAAAAACATCGAAATTGACATGGTTCCAGCATGCTCTATGTTCTTCTTTTTTAGTTGCACGGGACTGATTTTCTTGCCGATCAGTTGCTCTCCCAGGACGTTAAATTGAAGCAAAAAACACAGTACGTACTCATTTTTACGCAGCCTACGCTGCTAACATTAATGAAGATAGTTCATACCGGTATGATTGCCGTACAGGGCCCTCCGGAACCAACGCGCGCGCGTCCCCCCTTTGAAATCTAATATCTGGGGTATGATTTCGTGTTTTTTTTTTCACAAAAATAACCCACAAAACATGGTTTTTTTTTTCCAAAAAATAACCCATGATTTAAAATGTGGGTTCCTGGGTTCCTGGGTTAACCCACGAATAATCCATGAATAACCCACAAAAAATCCACAAACCTTCTGGGCCTTTTTCCAAAAATTAAAAACAGTGATTAAATAACGTTAATGACTAAAATACTTAACATCCTTGGTTCTCCATCAWCCCAGATGACTGTAAATTCGTGGGTTATTCGTGGGTTATTTGTGGGTTCCTGGGTTCTTTCGTGGGTTATTTTTCAAATTAAAAAACCCACATTTTAGAAACGTGGGTTATTTTTCACCAAAAATAACCAACGTTTTTCTAGGGGAGGAATTCGAAAAGGGGGATGTGCGCATGGGTACCGGAGGGCCCAGTAGTAAGATGTAAATGTACGTTACATTCTGACTAACGACCAATTTGAATCCAAGTACGAGATACTGTAGTTGCAACTTTCACTGTACCATACGGTACGTACGATACAATGATATGAGTACAAGCAAGGATGACAGATGGCAGATCCAGTTCGTACGTACGTACTCGTACTAAGAGGTTATGACCCCTGCTCGTACTCACAGTTCGTTCGTAGCATTTACTTCTACTTCTTCATGCATATACAAAGTACCTACCTACCATAGCTAGCTAGTTACGGTCATTACTCCCCGGAACCATTTATTGCATGCGTGCATCCCCTTTTGAATTCCACAATTTAGGGGCATGATTTTGTGGGCTACGGTATTTTTCGATTGTTTTCTTGATAAATTTTCAGAATTAAGATTTTCTTTGTGAGAAATGGGTTTTTGAGATTTTTGGTAGATTTCGATAACATCTCTCTTTTTTCCTTTGAATGCAACGGATACTTTTCACAAAATAATAGAAATGGGCGATCCCCGTTAATCTAGATGGTCTACTTTTTGACAGACAGACCAACCAAAAATAGACCATCTAGTCTCAATTTTTTTTACTTTCTGTCAATGCTAATCTAGACTGGAATCCAAGAATGAAAATCTGTTGTAGGACTCAACTGAAAAGACCTGCCAAATTTAAGACTTGATTAAATTTTTACTACGTTACTAAAACCTTTTCTTCTTGTTAAAGAAAGCGCCGGCGCCAACCCTTTCTTTAACAACCGCCATGGTGGAAGACATAAAGACAGAAGACACCATGTCCCCTGTCTTAGTCACTGCTCTATACGTTAGGCTGAAACAAAGAGAGGCACAACTGCTGGAGGCCGTGTATCAAGCAACGCGAGGGTTGGAGATCCCTCACACAATATTCATCCTGCTGCAAGCAAAGATGTTGACTCATACTGGTCCTTATGCAACCATTCCTCAATGTAATGACGGGTGCTTTCCTCCAGCGGCTCCAGTCCCTCCCCCAGGAGGTCAATCAAAAGTAGGGGGTCAGGTCTTTAGGCTGGTACTGCAAACTACTCGGAAGAAGAGCTCGTCTCGTTGATGTATCTCATCAAGGAGATCCTCCCCATTGGTAGTAAGGGTGATTGGCTCATGGTGGTTCATAGAGATGGACAGAGCTATCCATATGGTAGGACAAAGGATTCCATTAAAACCAAATTCAATTGATTGAGGAGACAGAAGATGCCTACTGGGAGTCCCAACATCCCCGAGTCAGTACGGCTTGCAAGAGAGGCCCACCGGTTGATTGGAATCAAGGCAAATATTGGAACTGGAGAGGAGACGAGACCTTTCATCCAGTCAAAGGTTACCTTGAAGATGAGGATATCGAGGACTTGGATGGGGACCTGCAGTATGCTTTGACTCCAGCAAAACCAAGCAAATTGAGCACCAAATCAAGCAACACGGAATCAACTTCTGACTCAACTGCCATTGACATCAACAATGACAAAGAACCCATTGTCGTGACAGCAACACCAAGAGAGAGAGAGATCTTATGGAAGACTGAGGAAGGAAATTACTGAACAGGATGCTGTTCTTAAGGATTACCTCATGCAACAGGATAAGAGGGAAGCTGAAAGAGACAAGAAGGCTGATGAGAGGGAAGCTGAAAGAGCGAAACACGAAGAAGCGAGAGATGAACGTTGGCTTACCATGGCTGAAACTATTGTGATGGTGATCACTGGTACCATCCACAAGCACCAGCACACAGGAGGCAGTGGCAGTGAATCCMATGGTGATAGCAACTAATTCAACCTTCTTGTTAGCAATGATTAACGATTAAACGATTACGATTCAACAAACAGCAAAAAGCAAAATAATGAGCAACACAGTGAGCTCATTGTTTAGCAATTAGTTCTTTCTTACGCGTTACACCGTGTTATTTGAAATTTTTGCCTTGGTTTTCTGCAATGCTAGTACCTTTGTGGGAATGCTTGGTTTTTGTGCATACCCTTCGTGGGAGTTGTTGAAACCAGAATATACCGCGTTGAAGATATTCAATGTGGCATCTCCATATATAATGTAATGAAGATAAGGTATGCAAACAATGCATGTGCATGCTGATCAATGCATGTGATTTGAAAGCGAACCCCGGTTCATGGGATTGCAACGCATGTGCTCAGTATTTCTAATCCCAGTTTCATTGGTACTATCAGCAAAATAGAGAACAACATGGTGTAATGTGTAACAACACGGCCTAATACAAAGCTTATCGCTGCTCATTATATCGCTTGAACGGAATGATGAAAGAGTACGTACTAAACGGAACTAACCAAACTAGTAACCAATTGTCTCTGCCCACCATGGTGGTGGAAGCTTGCTGTGCTGAAGTGATGCGCTGAATTGGACGCTTGCTGTGTTTAATTGAGGATGTGTTGTAAAAATCATGTGCGCAAATAGGTAGTTAGTGTAGTGTTGATATAACAGGTGAATACTCTGTAATATACACTAAGAACTTAGCTAAGATAGTAATCATCATGGTATGAGGGCATGATAGGGTGTTTTAAATGTTAAAGAAAGGAATAAGTGTGATCAAGCAAACAGGTTGCTGTTTGCTGCATTTTCGATCGGATTCGGCGATAAGATCGGTACGTTCGGCGATAAGATATGATTCAACCTAAGATTAACCTTAACCCTAATCGTTGAATC